AATCTCGGGTTCTTACGGAGAGGCTTTCGCGGGCGCAAGCGCCCTGCCCTGCTCCCCCTCCTCGCTCAGCCCAGCACCTCCCGTGACCCCCTCGCTCGGAAAACTTCGGCTATTTCCGGAGGACGGGGCCACGAGACAATTCGCGAAGCTTCGGAGGGGCTCGGAAGAGGGATTCTCGCCCCGCTCGTATCTCTCCGGAGCTTCTCGGCGATCTTCGGTATCCCTCGGTGTCGGCGCGGGCGTAGCTTCGGGCACACTCGGCTCCGGCTCTGCTCGGAGAGACTTCGGCAACGCTTGGCAGTGAGGGATTGGCCCGAAACTGCCAGGGGGCCCTGGGGTCCCACAGCACCCACCCCACTAAGGGCTTCCCCTTCCCGAAAACTCATCCCCAGCCCCAATCCCTGGTTTCTGGAGAGGCTGGAAGGGGTAGCACCGCAGCCCCCCCCCCGAGGCATCGTGAGAGCCGGCAGCCCTGAATGCGACATGGAAGCCTGGGACCCCCTTGGCTGTGAGAGATCTCGCAGTATCCACCCTGCTGCGGGCATGAGGAAGTGCCTTACTTAAAAAACCTCACCCCCAGCCCCAATTCCCAGCTTCTGGGGCAGCTGACATGCAGCCTTTCATGAGGGGAGACAGTCCTGAGGGTGACAGAGTGACTGTGAGAGACCCCGGGGACCCCAAGGCAGCCCATCTGTGGCAATGGGGCCCCTCCAGACCTGCCCTTGTGGGGAGAGGTGTCCACCTGACCCCATGGGCACACCAAGCCATCACCCCTCAAGGGTTGCCACACCACCACCACGTTCACCGTTTCACACCTAACCTGCAGGGCCCTCCCCGCAGCCAGCACCTGAGCTTGGCAGCAGCCAAGGTAGTTTGTACCATCTCAGGGAGATAAAAAGTACCTCAGAACAGATTCCAGCAGCTGCCAGATCGTCCTGACTTGTCGTGCCTCACCGCTGGGTGCCGAGGGCTCATTCCAAGCCACTGGCACCTTCCAACGTTCCTGCCACACTACATGTCCCAGGGAGACTCTCCCAGCACCTTCGCTGTGCCCACAGGTATTGCTGCCCCAGTCACCCACCCCAGAGTGCTGCTCTAGGAAACCTTCCCAGAGTTTGTGTCCTGTCTGCTGCAAATTCTGAGCAGCTACAAGTTTAGGAGGAAGATAATGCTTTAATACAATCACAAGCAAACTCTTAAAGGTGAAAAGCTTCTTTTACTGAAGTGAGCATCTCTCATGGTGGTGTATTCAGGCACCTGGAGAATAGCTGATATATAAGCTGAGAGAAGAGGTCTTATGCACTAAAGAAAACCTACCTGAGGAGTCACATCTGTCCCTGTTTGTACAATGGTCCTGTTTCTACACAGAGAAGTAATCTTGAATTTTAAATATAAATCTGAAGGTGGAGAATCTGGACTGGGTGTTGGCCAGTGGAGCAGAACCCAGCACAGTGGGCAAAAGAAGGGTCTTGAGTACATTTTCCCTTTGGAGTCAGACTGAGTTATCAAAGAATGGGGTTGTGCAGGGCCAGTTTAGGACACACAAGGATTGCAGTGTATCCAGAAGCTCTCTCTCCTCCGAGGTGTGGTCTCAGAAGGAAACCTGGGAGCTGCCATGCAGGTCTCCATTAAAAGCAGCCCTGCAACTGAGATACTTTCTTACTTACTCAGGCGCTACCTGGAAGGTACAGCCACCTCCCGCAGTGCCAGCCATTAGGGGGGCAGGGGAAGGTGACTTAGGTGCTGCTAAGTGTCCCTTTCTGTGCTCTTTGTTCTGCACTGGGGTAAGGAATGAGCTCATACATACCGCACAGTGCCTGTGGGAAATGGGAGAAATAGGAAACACTGAGATTTCTTTTTGAGGGAAAAGAGCCCAACCAAGCCCTGCCAGCCTGTAAAGAAGTCCTGAATGGGGAATATTTCCATCTGAACCCAGGAACAAATATTTAGAGGGGGCTCTGGCTGTTTTTTTCTGAGTCAGTTTTCCTCAGCAGCCTTCAGTCTGCCATATTAACTGATTCCCCACCAGGAAAACTGAAGAGAGAAATAAGAATGACCTAAAAAAAAAGGCCAAGTACTCCTCCACTCCCCAAAAATGAGAGACAAAGGAGGAACTTCTCTCATGGTATAGGATTTGCCCAAGGACTAATATATCTCCCAGCATCCCAGAGAGCTGCTGTGTTCACAGCATACCTCTCTTGCTGGGAAAATAATTCTCCCTCCACAGTTGGTAAAGGGTGGTGCAAGTAATGCTGCGTGTTCAGGGGGGCTGATGCCATTCCATGACCACCTCATGGCATGGCTTTTCTCCGGGTACCCCCCTTTGCATGGAAGGAAATTCATCTCAAAAGCAAGTTGACATCCATGGCTGCCTCTGTTCTACAGAAATAGCTGCCTGTAAACATAGGTGCAAAAGAGCTTCTGAACTCCAGGATCTTTGGCTATAACATTTTTTGCCTGTTTAGAAAGAAAAAATACGGCATTTTCACCCTATTGTCTGCTGAAGTTCCCAAAATGTGCCGGCCAGGCGAAGGAGCCAGGCTCCCGGCTCTGCCTTAAAGTCCTTCCAGAGTCAATGTCTCTCCCCAGCCTTTTTTTCCCCTTCTTTTTATTTTTTCCTGAGAAGAAAAAGTAGATATGTCTTCCTTCTACCCTATGTAGGATAATTTGGCCAACAAATCCTGCATATTTTAGAGCCTAAGTGAGTTCCAGCTGGATTCACACCCTTCTTGCCACCTCTCTGTTTTGTTTTTCCTGCTAGTTTTATTAGCACCTGGGAACCAATGTGGCACCATGGGCAGCTGGAGCCTACAGTGCTGAGCTCCTGTTTCAGAACATCACCAGCCCTTTTTCCAGTCCCACCACTTTCTCCTATACCTGCCATAGCAGAGACTCAAGCCCACAGCACAGAGTGTAGTAGGAATGCTGGAGCTGTTGGTGAACGTAGGAAAATACAGGATTGGGGGAAATCACTGGAAAATGGCTGTTTTCTTAAAGGGATGCTCATGAAGAGAAAATCGTAAAGTGGCAAAAGCATAAAGCACAAAGCCATGGTGCTGGGAGTGAATCAGGAGATACAGCCTTCTTGTTGCTTGGCTCTGAGTGAAAACTCACAGTGATCAGAATGAGCAGGTCCCTGCTGCAAGGTGGGATTTAGAAACCTGCTCCCAACCTCCCACTCCCCATCCTCCTGCCTTCAGGAAGGTATGGCTTGTTCAGGGAAGCTTTTGGCCCTAAAATCTGGTTGTCCCCACTTTCCAGCTCTGTTTGGAGGCTCCAGCATGCTCCAGGTGCCTGCTTTCACCCAGCACCATACAGCAGCACCTCCCTCTTTTGGCTTCTGCTTTTCCTGCACAGATACTCTTCCGAATACCCTCCAGACAAAAAAAACACCCAACATTAAAAAAAATTTAAAAAAAAGGGGTCCTGCTTGGAGCTTTCCCCATTCCTCCCCCTGCCTGGGCTCAGCCCTCAGCAAACATCTCAGCCCTCCAGGGCACAGCTGAGTGCAAAATAAAGCAAATACCACCCAGGACCAGGCAAGCCCACACCAGGTGCTGGCACAGAGGGGGATGATTCACCTCCTGCCTGCTCTCCCTATGTCTACAGCCTCCCAGGGGAGGAAAACTCCCACCACCTGCTCCCAGCCCAGCATGGGCAGCCTTGACCACGGTGTCCCCCACCACAACATAGCTGATAGTCACCCTCGAAGTCCTTTCTGCCCTGGGGCTATCCCTCAGCCATCATCTGCCTGGTCCCTCCCTCCAATTAAGCCCCAGAGAGCCAAAGTACTTCCTTTTGGATGGTTAAACCACTTCTAACAGCATCTCCAAGTGACATGTGTGCTCCCTTCCCTGCTCCTTGCAGCTGGGAAAACACCCTCTTACCCTAGCCCCATTCTATTCCTCTTTGCCTCACAGCCACGCTGCTCCTCTGTTTCCCTAGGAATCCAGGTATTCCACCACAATTTAAACATGTGGGGCCACATCCAGACCAAAACAGGACTCTGGTAACGTTGCTGGCTCCTGCCAGGCAAGCACTGGAGTGTGCACGCAGCGATCTTCTCAGCTCCATCGCCCTCTGCGGGTTTGTGCCATTTCCAGGCAGATCTCAGGGAAAACAACGGCCACGGCCGCTCTCCAGCACTGCAGGAAACCGAGGGCCTCACACCGAGTTGTGCAAGCAGAAAGTGAGCACTATTACATTTCTATTCCATCTGGGTGAGAAAACACGGTAAAAACAGTCAGAGAGGTATTTTAATGTCTTATTTACACAACACCCATGTCTCCAGCTTACTGCTGGCTCAGTCCTGCTTATGCCAGCAGCAGAAACACTTTGTATTCCCAGAAGTTTGCTACCAGTGGGCTGCAGCCTCCTAGTTTTGTCCTCAGTTCCAACCCCCAATAACAATTCCAAGGCTAAATAGTAAAGGAGTACCCAGCACTTGGTGTGGTTAATGGCCATCAGCTCTGCCAGGTACTGGGGTGAAGCTTGCAGAGAGCCTGCAGTCCAGGTCCTGCCTTGCATTTTTTAGGCAAGCCTGATGAAGCCATGGAGCATCTGCTTGGAGTGAACTGTGTTACGGAGCTGGCAGCATCCCACCAGCATCACCAAGCCATAAATAAGAGTTTGGAGAGAAACCTGTGCAGGGCCTGTGCTGCTGGATCCAGCCACAGCTCAGCCAGCCAAAAACTCACCCAGGAAGAAGGAAAAGCATCCGGGAAAGACCTCCCTGCTGGAGAGCTGTGTGGGGCCATGTCATAGAGATGAAAAGCAAAGAGCCACCCACAGTGAGAGTGAGGTTTTTGGGGAAAAAAACCTGGATTCAGCCTCCAACAGAGGCAGCAGTCGCCAAGTACAGGCTGGGAAAAGCCTCCTTGGCTCAGTTTCGTCAGCACGGGACGAAAGTCTCAGTGGTGTAGACAGGGAGAAGAGAACAAATAAAGGGAGGCAGACCCTCCTGCTGTAAAAAAAACCTGAGTGGTGATCAGCTCCAATTCCAGTAAAAAGTATTTATTATTTCAATTACAATAAGCCCCACGCGTATGGTGAAAAAATAGTTACAAAAAAAGAGCCCCTTCCATCTCTTCCTTTACATATAAATATTAAAAATCCCTCTATGTCTCTGCTTTGTCTACAGCAAGAAGACAACATACAGCACGTGAGCTCTTATCAGTGCTTTCCCCTCAAAACAAGTATTAAAAACATCCCTTTAAAAAGTCCCTCAGCCCCATCCTGATCACTTCTCACACCAGTGGCAAACCAGCTGCGGAGAGACAGAATTCTGGGGCCATGTCGTGCTTCTGGAGCTTGCAGTTTCCCAGGCAGAGGGCAGACTCGGCATGAAAGAAGCAGCGGCAGGAACCGCCTGCACTTGTCTGGGAAGCTTTAGGGCCATGAAATCCTGGCTAGGCTGGCTTCAGAGGGGACAGGAGGGCGAACAGGATGCTTCATCCACCCCATTACCACCTTGGTTACATCTTTGGTTATGTCAATTTTTCCCTTTACACTCTCAAATTAAAGCTAATCCCAGGAGCTGCAGCATCCCGGCACAACCTCTGTGACTTGCAGCATCCTCCAGCCCTATCCCCAGGCCTGCTATCCCTAATTTTCCCATCAGCATCCTGTGAGGATAGTCCCTCCCAGAGAAACACAGGATCCAAGACTGGAAAGATATCCACAGCTCTACCCAGCTTTCCTGGCCAAGCAACTGTCACCACAGGGTACTGCACTTACAGCTGCACTAAGTAAAAAAAAAAATAATAAATATACTAATCTTTACTTAAAAAAGGCTTTTAAATGCATTTTCCCTGAAAATTTCCAGTGTATTCCACAACACATGAAAAAAATATATGTATTTCTCCCCCACAAAAAATAGATCTTAAAATATTTCCCACCCTTGTGTGCGTATCTTTGGAGAGAAGGTGGTACATCAGGTGGATTTAGACACACAGACAAACCTGCCGCTGTTGGGGGTTCCCTTTATCACCTCCAAAACAGAAGGGTTTTCTGGGCAGTGGGTCAGGCTAGAGAGCTGTGTGTGTAAATACAGGAAGTGCCCACAGACACATGTGTCGCGACACTTGGCCCAGTCATGGTGGGAAAGAAGAGACCCCCAAACCAAAGTCATTTCATCAACAAGCAGGGGGATGAGTTTTCACAGTGGATTGAACCTTGGACAATGCCAGAGGTGCAGCCACCACTCCAGCTGAGGAGTGGGGCTCTCCGTGGCATGGAGAAGTGGTTTGAGCCTCAAAGGACTGGGGAAGCCCAGCTATTGGCAGAAGACAAAGCAACCGGCTGCTGGTTCCCTTGGGCACTCGCCCATCACCAGACTTCACACTTCTTGAGGGGGTTCATAGGGGAGCCCGGGGGGCAGCTGAAGTGCTCCGCGAACTCTGGGGAGTTGGAGACGGTGCCGATGACGCGGAAACGTGAGGGGCTGTGGGGATCGGTGATAAGCCCCTCATGCGAGCTCTCTGGTGTGCGAACTGAGCACCACACCTGCAAATGGAGCACAAGGGGCCTGAGTACTGACACCCATCACCATAGGGCCAGCTCGGTGCTGAACCCAACTTCTCTGCCTGCATGATGGGGGCCAAAGCAGCTCGACCTTCAGCCTTCTCTCCCTCTGTACCCAGCACCACCCCAAGCTCATTCTCCACCTACTACATCATCTCTGGAGGACTCCGTTTTGCCATCACACACTCCCAACCCCATGTGGGTGTGCTCCATCCCCAAAAATCCGTGTGCCCAGCCTCCCAAGGTCATCATGTGACCCACCTGTGCAAAACCAACAAAGAAGAGCTGGTAGTTGGTGAGGCCGAGAGTTGGGAGTGTTTCTTCATCCCCATTCTTTTTTAGCCAGTTTTGATATGCCTGAAAACCAGGGAGCACAGCAGGCTCAGGAGACAACACAAACCCCATGTCCCCCTCAGAATCTCCCCAGCCCTGTGGTCCTACCCGATAGGCAGCCTTGAGACCCCCGTTGTCAGCGATGTTCTCCCCAAGGGTGTGCTTGCCATTGACCGCCTCACCATTGACAGTATAGTTGCTGTACTGCTCCACCATGCATGCTGTCTGATGCTTGAAGGCCTCCACCGAGGAGTTCTTCCACCAGGGACGCAGGTTGCCATCTTTGTCATATTCCCGGCCTGCAAAAACACAGTGGATTCATCATCTCATATTGGCCAACCCTCCAGCTGCCCACCCACCTGGCCCTGGTCATACCTTGGTCATCGAAGGCATGTGTCAACTCATGGCCCACCACTACACCAATCCCACCAAAATTCAGGGACCTGTAGGAGGGTAATGCAGAGATTAAGAAAGCAGCCTCTCCTCTCTACAGCCATGAAACTTAATCTAAGATTTGTATATAGGAAGAAAAGTGGGAATCCTGGCCTCTCTGTTTTCCCATGGCTCTTACTTAGGGGATGCACGGGTGTAAAAGGGGGCCTGGAGGATGCCGGCAGGGAAGACAATCTCATTCTTGGTGGGAGAGTAATACGCATTGACTGTCGGAGGCGTCATGCTCCACCTGCAGGAACACAAACACAGCCAACATGGCAACACAAACCATCACCAGTATCTGCCCCAACAACATCCACTTTTGTTGCAAAGTGGTTGTCCTAAATTTATCTCCTCAAAACCAGCACAGGCTGGTGGACACCAAATCCCAGTGTTCTAGATATGCTGATATTCCCCATTGAGTACAACAGGGAACTGGAGCAGAAGACTTACTGGTCCCGGTTTGGTGGTTTCCGGAGCTGGTCAGCTGTGACCCTGGCTGAGAAGTTGTAAAACTGCATGACGTTCTCAAAATAGAGGTCGGACACGGCCTCATACTGCAAAAGAATAAGTCACGAGTGGTGTGTGGTGATTGCGCAGCCCCACTCCTCCCTCCACAGTCACGTCTGAGCCTCCAGAGAGCCGAGTTATGGATTCTCCTGTTTCTCCTCCTCTCCAACATCTGCAGAGTCTCTGGAGGGCAGTGAATCACCGTTACAGAAAATGGCTCCTCCTTTTCCCAGGCAGGGATCCCAAGAGCCCCAGCCACCCCAGGACTGGCCACAGCTCTCTGGGAAGTCCCTAGAGAAGGCCCAAGGACATCAGTGAGATCCTTCTGGAGGAAACCTGGGGTTCAAGGCTGCCCTGAGGTCCTGGTGATACAGACACATCCTGTACATCCTATAGAAGACCCAGGGGACGTACTGACCAACTCACATCATTAAAGACTTTATCCAGCTCCTTGGGGTCCATGATGAATTTGGGATAGCCAATCATGTTGTAGATGGCATCTGCCTGGAGAGTAACAAGGACGAAAGTGCTTTCAGTGCCAGAGATGGAGGACAGGCTCACCCGGTTCCACCATCCTCCACCCTCACCCTCTCCCCAGCACAGCCAGAGGCACCTCACCTTCTCTTTGGCTGATTTCCTTGTCTCTTCATCCATCCACTGCAGGGTCTCCAGGCTTTCCTCGAAGGCAGTTTTAATCTCCGCAATCATTTCCTCCGCCTAGAGCAAAGGGCAAAACAAGGCAGCACAGCATCAGTCTAGAGAGCTGGCTTCCTGTCCTAGAGAGGTCAAGGACCTTCACGCCACAGGGAGGAAGAGGCTGGGAGGCCAAGACAACACATGGTGAAAAACCCAGCACACAGAGATGCACAGGGAACACAACAAGGTGGACAAAGCAACATTGTCTGCCCCAAGAGTTCCACCATTGTAAAGGCTTTCCCAGCACCAGGACTCGCACACTGCTGTCTTGGGGACATACCACCTGCTTGCTGTCCTCAGCAAAGGTGGCCTTGACAAACATAGCCCCCAGGGCGAAGCCCAGGTTGTTGTCCGTGTCACTGATGCAAAACTTCCAGCGCGGGAGGCAGCTCTGCATGGGACAGGAGGTGATCATCAGCGGTGGCATGGTACAAAGCCCTCCACATTTCCACCCCTTGCTCCACCAACCCTCTGCCATCCCAAAAGCTGCCCCACATCTCCATTGTTTGGATGCCACATGACAGGGCCTTGCCATAAAAAGACATCACCATTTTAATGGTGATTCAGGGCACTGGGGACTTCACGCTCACCTTCTTTGTCCCATACATCACTTCCATGAATTTTTCCTCAGCATCCCGGAAGCGCTGGTCAAGGAGTGGACTGGTTTTCCGCACCAAGTTCCAGATCATGTAGTTGTTGAGGAGACTATGGTGAGAGGTGGTGAGTAGGCAGCAGCACATTCCTGCCCACCCTGCATACCCAGGTCTCCATACGGGCTGCGGGTTCTCACCACTTATCCGTGGCCAGGATGAGGTCAGAGACCTGCTCCAGGTACTCCTTGGCATAGACCACAACAGGCTCTGACTCGTTGAGCTCCACGGGGTAGAAGACCGTGGAGAGGAAGGGCATCCAGTCCACAGCCGGTGCCAGCTCCTGCAAAACCCATAGCAATGCTATGGACCTAAAAACCATTGCAGGGGTGGCAGCTGCTTCTTGAGCTGGAATTTGCTGTATCAGTCCCCATTTAATGGATTCAACTGATTTTGGAGAGGCCAGTTCCCATAACAGCAGCATCCTTGAAAGGCTGGAGGGGAGTAAACAATTTCCTCCCACAAAGAAGGAAAAGAAAGTGGGGGGGGGGGTGTCAGAGATGTTGACACAAGCCATTAGAGCCCCTTTAGGGACACTGGGAAGTGACCAGGCTGACGTCCAGGAGCATCAGTGCCAGGACATAAGTGCTGCAGTAGGACAGCTGCTGGCCCTAGGGGTGGTCCAGAGGCTGGGAGGAAGGGTCAGAGTAGCATTTCCCCAAGGAGGACATAGGCCAAGCTGTTACACAAGAGTTTCCCAGGTTGTGTCAACTGGTGTCAGGATTCCCAGAGGAGCTGTGTCACCTCCACCCGTCCACCCCACTTCCCAAACCACAGCACAATGGGGAAGCTCACCAGCTCCATTCCTACCTTTAGGTCTCCTGCTGTCATTTTATGGTAGATAACCTCCTCATCCCGGTGCTTCTCCTGTGGGATGGTGATGTTGGCCAAGGCCGTCTCAAAGTCCAAGATCTGCTGCATCTGCTGCCGTGTTGACTCCTCATCGATGCCTCCCAGAAACATCCCCAGCTGCACCATGTAGTTCAGGTACCCAGCGAGCACCTGTGTGATCAGACAGGTGGGATCAGCACAGCGGGTGCCACCCACCCACAGCATCCCTCCAGCCAACCCACATTTCCCCCGACACCCTCACCTTCTCATTCTCTGTCTTGTTCAGGTAGTAATCCCGCGATGGCAGGCCCAGCCCCGACTGATCCACCTGGATGACATTGCTGTTGGAGTTCTTGGAGTCGGCGCTGACATAGACGGAAAAGAAGGGCGAGGTGCGATAATGCGCTGTCACCTCCCGCAGCGTCTCGTTGAAGTTGTCACCGGCACAGGTACCTGTGATGTTCCAGCCACCCAGCTGGGGACAGACAGTAAACAACTTTCAAGTAAGAAACAGTCATCTGAAATTGCTTCAATATCCCCTCAATATCCATCCTGGGGAGAAACATCTTGCAAGGGGGCTGAAAAGCCCCATTACAGGATTATAAATACCTGCTTCTGCCTGCCTGACCTGGGGGATGCTCTTCTGCAGGATGCACCAAGAATGGAGTATGGAGGGTGCTGGGACTGCCCATGACTGAGCTTTTCCCCCCACTTTGCAGAGGGAAGACTGCTTTTCCACGAGGACTTGGACAAACCTTTTGGATGAGTTGTATGAGAGGGGTGGCACTCAGCTCCTCGATCTTGCTCTCATTCATGCAGGCTTGGTAATAGCGCTGTGCCTTGCGCTCTGCCTCGCTTGACACATTGGCCGTGGTGTTTTCTGTGGGAGTACCCAGGGAGAATCACACGGGGCTCCAGGGATGGGCATCCACTGGAGCCAGAAGGATTCAGCCCCATTTTGGGCAAAGCTAGGTTCCAAAAAAGCACCAAGGATTGTCCCAGTAGTCCCCACCATGCCCCCAAGGGCATCCCGTTGGTCCCATCCCTTCTTGGCCTCCTGCCCCCTGTCTCCTTTCCCACCCACAGTGACTGCTCTAAGTCTTTAGGGACAAAAGAGAAAGAAAAAACAAAAAGCATTTTTATTTTTTCAGCAGCCTTGATATTCCCAGTATCATCCAGCTCCGGGTGCTGCCCTTGCCTCTGTACTGGCGCCCCCCAGCCCTGTGTTATTTATTCCTGCAAAAAGGAACAATAAATCCATTTTTCACCTCTGCCTCCAAAACCTTCCTTTCATCTCCCTAGCTAAAATGCTGCTTCCCCAGAGGGCTTTTAGGGTTTTTTAAATTTATTTTCCTGATGACACAGCTTGCACCTTTGGCTTCTCAGCTGTGTGGTTTCATTAACTAAAGGTCCTTCAGCGCCAAGGAATTCAAGGAAATGCCGAATGCGACCACTTGGCTAGAGGCCCAGTCTCTTCTCCTGGTAAAACCAGCGCCAGATTTCTGCAGGAAAAGCTAGGGACGAAGCTGTTCCAGCGCCACCCCCTTTCTCTCAAAAGACAACCCTCTTCCCAAACCTTCTCTTTCCAGATAATCAGCCCTGGCGCAGCGGAAAGTGCTGATAAGGAGCCAGTTGTTTGCTCAAAGCTTGAACAAACCGTCCCTGGTTGCTTGGATAAGCCACTCTGCTTTGGTATTCGCACGCAGAGGCTGAGTCCAGGACCCTCCCTTTGCTCGAGGTGTTTTGGCCCCCAAAAAACGGCCATAGTGGCAGCCAGCCCCCTAAAAGGCTTCTCACAAAGGCTAGAAGTTATAGAACAGGAAAAATGCATATCCTTGGGGTGATAACGGGGCATTACAGCCTCTGGATGCAGTCTGGAGTGCAAATTCTGAATTTCAGAGCTGGGAATGCCACCATGCAGTTTACAGAGCAGAAGCCTTTTCCCTACTCAGCACCAAAGACTAGCAACAGCACAGTCAAAAATCTCAGGATCATCTAGGAGAGCAAACACAGCCAGGATCCGTTTCTCAATGTCCTCACAGCATGTGTGCCACAGACTGGTTTGATGCCGGAGTTCAATTCCAACCTCGTATTTCCATGCATATGCTTTTGGCATCCCCTGCACCTAACGGGGCCCGGGGGCATTGTGGGGTCCCACCGCTCCCATGCACTCACCCAGCAGGTGCTTCATGATGGCCTGGTTGTGCTCCCAGAGGTTGTTGAACGTACCCCAGCGTGAGTGACCGTCGGGGAGGGGGTTGGCCTTGATCCAGCCCCCGCAGGCGTAGCTGAAGAAGTCCTCGCAGGGATTCACTGCATGGTCCAGCGAGCTGAGGATGGAGCTGGTGACGGAGATGCAGGCTTCCGACAGGCATACAGCAGGTGGCCCTGGGAGGGCATGGACAGGTTCAGCTCCTCTGCTGCAGCAGGAGGAGCAGCACCACAGAGCATCCTGCCCCAAGCTGAAGGATGCAGGCAGATTACCCCACCTGGTGCCTGAGCATCCCACCTTGTACCTTACCAGCCTGCTTTAGGGCAAGCAATACACACTAGCATGCTGACCTATGTCTGAGCATCCTGCCCGATCATCCCACCCCAGGGCAAGCATCTCATCTTATGCCCAAAGATCATGCCCAGTGCCCAGTCATCCACTCTGGGGTGAAGGATGAAGACAAACAGTCCATCCTGTGCTCAGAAATCAAGCTCCAGGATACAGAATCAGAGAAACATCTTATCCCACATATGAGCATCTCGCCCTGGGGTTAAGGGGTACAGGTGACTATCCTGTCTTGAGCCCAAAAATCCCACCCCACACCTGAACATCCTGTTTGATACACAAGAATCCTGTCATGGGGTGAGGGGTGCAGATAAGCACCCCACCCTTGCACCAAATATCACGTTCTGGGAACGCCCCAGCAGCCCGCCCCAGTCAAGGGGGCAGAATCCCTGTGCACTTGTTTGCTCAAAGCTTGAACAAACCATCCCTGCTAATTGCTCGGATAAGCTGCTCTGCCTCAGCGTTCGCACTCAGAAGCTGAGCCCGGAATCCTTCCTTTCCTGAGAGAGCTTTGCCCCCCAAAAATGACCAAAGGACTTACTGGCTCTGTACTGGAAGATGAGTCCCAGCAGACAGGCCACGAGCAGCACCGCCAGCACCGCCACCAGCACCATCAGCTGCTTTTCAGCACGTGTCCGCTCGGCCCAGCATCCCCGGCTGCCCCGTGAGCTGCGGAAGTTCACCTGCGGGAAGAGCAGTGTCGTCTCCCCGCTGGCAGAAAAACTCACTGACGCAGCCCCCATTTTGCTTCCCACAGCCCAGGGCAGAAATTTTAGCCCCAGTAAGGGATCTGTCATGGATTGGGCTGGGAAAGGCAGCAGCTGCCTTCCAGAAACCATGCAGGAAGGGCGGCACAATGGCAGGAAAGGGAGCGGGACGGAACACTTTGGAGGGCTCACCTGCTGTCCCGTGCCACCCTGAACCCCTCCTCGAGCACAGCATAACCCCACAGCTGTCCCCGTCCCCATTGCCAGCACTGAGACAGGGTGGGAGCTGCATAGGAAAGTGCCTTAACAGGATACTCCCACTCAGCCGAAAAAACATCCCCAGGAAACATCTCGACAGCAAGCGGAGACGGCCCCACCGGGAAAAGTAAAAACAAATTTGGGGCAGAAACCACCATTCTAGAGACTGATGGAGCTGGGATTGGGGCCAGGACAGCGAACATCTCTCCAGACCTGACCTCTCCCAGTAAGGCTGGACACTGGCAGCCATGGAGTTTTTTCTTGCCACCCGTGGCCCTCTTTAAGCTGCTTTCCCACTGCTTGGGGAGGAATTAACCTAATCTTCTTTTGTGTGGGGACAAAACTCCCAGTGCTGCGATAATTGCTCACCCCAACCATGCTGGGAAGGGGTTTGACAGTAGAAAAACAAGGAGGTGGAGTGTTGAAACAGTGGAGGCAGGACATGGCCCTGCTGCCTCCCTGTGCCAGAAGGAGAGCAAAGGGCAGCAGTGGCAGGAGCCAACATGGCTCTGCTCACACTGGACTTTACCCCCCAGGCACTGGTCCCAGGTAAAAAAACCCTTCTGCACCCCTTTTGCTGCTTGCCAGGATGCAAGATCCCCTTTTTCCTCCCTAAAAGACACATGAAGCTATACCTGAAAGCCATTGGGGTATCCATCACCGTCACCAAGGGAGTCCAGGGGGTCTTCATCATCCAGTGTCGCCCGCTTGTAGGTCGACATCTGCACAGGGAGATTAGCAACAGAGGTGTTCAGTGGCCCGGGATGAGGAAGAAGATGAAGGACACGGAAGGTTTACACACCTTCTAAAGCCACCTCCTCCTACGGGGAGCAAAATCCCAAATGACTCTGAGGTAGTAAAGCACTACACAAACGCAGGAGGATGGTTATGGAAAGCAAAGAGGGCCGGAGCCAAGAGCTGAGCAAAGCCCGAACCCGCCTCAATTTCCCCTGGGGCTGGATTGTGCAACCTCCCCTTCAGCCTGGAATAAAGCCGGATCCACCTCCGCCCCGCAGCGGGGAGAGGGACCCCCCTGTACCACGGAACCCCGGAGTGCCAGGCACCTGTGAAGGGCTGGCAGCAGAGAAAATGGCTTTTCACCCCGACACTACCGGCTCGCTCGTGCTCCACGCCCCATCTGTGAACCCTACGCACCGTGAAACACCCGGAGACGTCCCTGCGAGCACCCAAAGGCGACAGCACTAGGAATTTCAGCTGTGGACGGGCTCGCTCCCGGCGCCGTGTCCCCCGGGCATTATCTTGTGCCTATGCCCGGCTCTTATCTCATCCCCGGCAGAAAAACAAGGAAAACCTCACGGGCTGGCAGCCGGCTCTTATCATGCCGTCGCCGCTGTTTCCTTCCCCCTAGCACTGCCTTGCCATCCAGCCGGATTGTCTCCCGACAGAGCAAACAACCCTCCACTCCCCACCGAGGGGCTGAGTACCCCAAAATTCACCCTGACCCTGCCATCGATGGGCCCGAGTGGCATCACTCACAACCCTTCAACTGCGATCAGCGCAGGGAGGGGGTTTACACCCATCTGGATGTCCCTATCCGGCTGCCACCAATCCCAAAGGGATTAGTTGATCCAAGCCCCACACAGCCGTGCCTCAGTTTCCCCTAGCAGAATGAAAACACCGGTTCTCAACCTTGTTTCCAATAGCAGCCTTCCCAAACCCTCCTTTGCACACTTAAAAACAAGTCTCATCCTCTCCCTGGACCCCATCCCTTCCCCGGATTCCAAATCCCAGCCTCAGTTTAATTAACCACAAAACCCACCTGGAGAAGAAAAAGGGTTAAAACGAAGAGGTGGTTTCCCTCCTTGGTTGTACCGAAATCTCTGTTTGCAGCCCCAAAATCTCCCCTGGGCGGCCGCCTGGAGCCTGAGAACCGAGAGGCGAAAGAGCCTCAACTGCAAGATTTTATCGCGGGGAAAATATCTGTTTAGATCCTATTTTTTCCCAACCCCTTTCACTTTTTTCCACCAATTTTAGTACTTCGCACATGGCTGAAATTAGCAGCTCCGGGCACAAATACCCGCTCACGCGGTGGGGGGATCCATGAAGCCCCCATGGCTCCGTAACACCAAATTCCTGGAATCCCAGCTCTTACTCCATTTCCTGAGGAAACGCAATTTTTTTTTTTCCTCAGCGATCCCCCGCCTACCTCAGCCTGAAAACAAAAGGAAAAAGACCAAAAAATAATCCCTTTCTGTTTTTTCACAGGAGATATGCTGGCTCAACCCTGTATCAGCCATCACAGAATCCATTAAATTGAGCCCGAGCTACCCCAAAACACCGCCGAGAGCCACTGGGATCGACCCCCAGCATCCTTAATTTGAGGGAAAATCGGGCCCGGGAGGTATTTTTAACACCCATATTCTCCATATTGGGGGCATAGTAGCACCTCTGGGTGCTCCCCACCCCTCTCCAGCCCGTGAAGCAGGAGCACCCCTTTTCTGGGGGCAAAATGGGGTAGTTTTTGTCCTACAGCTCCCCGCTCCAAGCCGTTATTTGCTGCAATAAGAATAAAAACGTCTTTTCCCAACTCCAACACGGTGGGGGGCACCCAGGGGTGCACGGGAGGGGCCCAAACTTTAAGCCCCCACACAAGGGATTTTCACTCTCTCTACAACTTATAAAAATCTCAGCAATACTTTAAATAGCCCGGCTTTACCCCAAATCGCTCCTTCGCTTTATAAACAGTAACCCCCACGTGCTCGGAGCCCGCACGCCCCCAGCAAGGCTGGGGGGCCCCCAGCGCCCGGCCCTACCCCGCCGGGGGAGTCTCTCGCCGGTACCGGGGCACCCCGAGCCTCCGCCGGCTGCTTTCAATTCCCATCCGGGCGCCATTTCGGAGCAACCACAGCCACGGTCGCGATGGCGATTCCTCGCCTCCCCCCAGCCCCTCCAACCCCCCACTTCCACCCTAAGCCCCACAAGTCACCCCCGCGCCCCCAAAGCCCCGCCTGGCAAAGCGGTGCCTACCCGTCCCACCCCCAGCACCCACGGGTGCCCCCCCCACCTCTACAGCCCAGGGTCAGCGCCCAGCGAGGCTCAGCCTGCTAATTAGGATGTCCGGGGATAATTAGCAACTCCTGGTATTAATTAGGGGTGCTGGGAAAGAGGTTTGGGGTCAGTCCCCAGTTTTGTAAGGTGCCCTGGCTGCAGATAAATTAGTTTTTTTAAGTAAAGCTTAAAAAGCAGCAAAAAAAGGGTTAAAAAACCAAAAAGTAGGGAGGAGAACAACCCAATTTGGGGGCCTTCGCAAACAGCCCCGCAAAAGTGGGTTTAGCTGGGTGGGGGGTGCCCTACTCCCTTTGCAGAGGGAAACACGATACAAATCCCTGAGGGTCTGGGTCAAGATTGGATTTGGGGGCGGAGGGGGGGTTCAGGGGGGCACTCTCTCTGGGGTCCCCACCTGGTGAACCCACTGGCCACAAGGAAAACACAGCGGGGGGTGCCTGAGTCGGGCAGCCGGGGTGTTGGGGGGTGCAGTGGGGGTGCTGTGGGGGCGCATGGGGGTGTCTTTAGAGGATTCCTTGGGATGCAATGGAGGATCCCTTAAGGGTCCGATGAGGGTCCCTCGGAGCTGCAAAGGGGATCCCACGGGGATGCCGAGGGGTTCCCTGGGATGCAATGCGGAGAGTCCTTTGGGGTTACAAAGAGCATCCCATCCCAGGAGATGCATCACCCAGCGCCCCGCTTCGGCCAAGCGCCCCCCACTCAACCACTCCCAGATTTGGGGATGTCGCTGCCCCTCCCCACTCACCATGGCCGTCACCCCACTCCTGCCGGCCCCGGCCCCGATGGGGCGAGCGCCCGCTGAGCCCCGGCACCGCTCGTGACGCCGCCGCGGCCTAGCGAGGGTGGCGAGGGTGACGAGTAAAGGATGTACCTGGGATGGGAAACCAATGGGGCCGCGGAGGGACGGGCTTCCCGCGCGCCTCCTTTAACTCTTTCGGGGGGGCCCCACGTGCCCCCGCGCTGCCGGCAGCATCCCCCCGAGGAAGCCCTGGCTCCCCGGCCGAGGGGGATGTAACGTCCCGGGGCGAGCGTGCAAGGCGCGATCCCGGCGGCGGGCACTTGTGCAAGCGCGAAAGCACGTGGGGCTGCAGGGCCGCGGGGCGAGCGCACGGGGCTGCAAGCGCAGCCGTGCAAACACACGAGCGTGTGGCCGTCAAAACCACGCGTGTGCGAGCCAGTGGTGCTACCAAGAGCCCAGCGCCCGCCTGTGCGACGGGCACACGTGCAGTTGTGCAAGAGCGTGCGAGAGCGTAGGCGTGTGCTGCTTGCACGCCTGCAGCTGCGTGCGAGCACACACGCACACACTCGTGCATGCCTGCAGTTGTGCAACTGTGCCAGCGTAAGCTTTCACACACCCCAATGCACCCATGGCTGCACGGCCGTGGTGTCAGGGATGGGAACATGCGGTGCCGCCTTCTCCCCGCGGTGCCGTCTCCACCCCTGCACTGCCCCGGCGGGCTGAGCACTGACACACTCATCACACCCAAGGGGCTGCAAATCGCCTTTGCTGGGCTGCGAAACTGCTGGGTAGCACAAAGGGGTGGATAGAGGGGAGAAAGGGGAAAAGGTTCCCAAGGAATTTGGAGGGTCCGCAAGGGGCTGTGCCCGTCCCCTGGCATCGCGGTGGTGTTGGCGCTCCCTTGGTTGCACTCCGAGGCTCCCGGGGAGCGGATTTTCGGACTGAGAATGCCATCTTCTGAGAAGCCACGGGCGGCTTCGCGGGTCACGGAGTCCCCCGGGTCCCCACCATGGGGAAATGGACGCAGGGCTGGGAGTCACACACACACATACACCCCTCGCCCTCGTCACCAAGCCGTGTTTACAGTAGGACCTACAGCAACGCCGCGGGATCCCAGTATGGATCTCTGGTGGGCTGCTGCAGGAGCCCGTATGGGGAAACTGAGGCAGAGAGATCCCACTCATCTCCATCACCCCCACCCCAACCCCTCGCTGGTGCCGCTAGCACGGTTTGGGCGAAATAATGCAAAATCCGGCCAAACACACATCTACCCCTCCACGAAGCACCCCAAATTCCCACGCGGGAAGCGGGAAGTGGAGGAGGGTTACTCAGCACTTACAGCCAGGCTTGATGCACCCCAGTCCTCCCAGTATAACCCGGCAGAGGGCACCAGTAAGCCCAGTTTGTGGCCTTTTCTCCCCCCGCCCCCCCTCTTGCTGGCAGCAGGGGGAGGGTGGAGGAAGGGGAGGAGGAGGAGGAGGCGAAGGCCGGGTGCGGGGGGATTTAAGGGCTCGCGGTCCCCCCGGCCCGGTCTCCTCCCGCCACCCAGAGGGACGTGGGTGTCGGGATCCAAGTTAGTGAGGGTACGTGTGTGACAGCCCCCATCCCCGGTAAGGATCCCCTGGGGCCACCGCTGCCCTCCGGGGGAGGGAGGGTCTCCGGGGAGCGAGGGCTGAGGGGGCGTGCAGCGGAGGGGAGGTGCCACTGAGATGTTGAGCTGATGGGGACAGGAGAGTGCCACGGGGGCTCGGAGGTGCCATAGGGACACAGGAGTTTGGTGGAGACGTGGGTGTGCAACAGGGACATGGGTATGTGGTGGGGACACGGGGGTGTCATGGGGACGTGGACATGTGATGGGGACGTGGATGCGCAACAGGGACACACGCATGCAACGAGGACACGGATGTGGTAGGGACACGAGTGTGCAACAGGGACAGAGGCATGCAAGAGGGACTTGGGTGTGCAGCAGGGACATAGGCATGCAGTTGGGACACGGGTGTGCAGCAGGGACATAGACATGCAGTTGGGACACGGGTATGCAGCAGGGACGTGAGCATATAGTGGGCACACAGACATGGGATGGGAACACGGACGTGCAGCAAGGACATGGATGTGTGATGGGACGTGGTCATGTGGGGATGTGGGTGCGCAGCAGGGACAGACATGTAACCGGGATACAGGTG